TAAGAATGGATACGTTTGATCTTCTTGCAGTCCATGGGACTCTCAGGAGTCTCCTCCAGCACCATAATTCAAAAGCATCAATTCTTTGGCGATCAGCCACCTTTATGGTCCAGCTCTCACTTCCATACATCACTACTGGGAAAACCATGGCTTTAACTATACAGACCTTTGTTGGCAAGGTGATGTCTCTGCTTTTTAAGATGCTGTCTAGGTTTGCCATCGCCTTTCTGCCAAGGAGCAGGTGTCTTTTAATTTCATGACTGCTGTCTCCATCTGCAGTTATCACGGAGCCCAAAAAAGTAAAATCTCTCACTGCCTCCATTTCTTCCCCTTCTATTTGCCAGGAGGTGATGGGACCAGTGGCCATGATCTTCGTTTTAACTGAACATAGTGTCCATTTAACACCAATTCCTGCTGGATCCATTTCATGTATTTCTTCTCTTCTCTTCTCCAGTACCACACAGATAATATCTGGTCAAAAAACAGTCACTCAGACACTCATCTAACCTTGGGTGTCAATCTCATTTAAAAGACTAATTCCATTAGCTTCGCAATTGTGACTAATAACTACAAAGGTCCATTGAAAGCAGTAATGCACTTAAGCTCATGCATCAGTCTTCTGATTTAACCCCCCCACCATATAGAACATAAGGTCGCAACCTTGTGCTTTAATAATAAAAATAATAATGATAACTATTATTATTATACAGAGTCAGGGCAGCACATTCTATGCCTTGGTCCTTCCTAATTTGTAGAGTGGTCAGGTCAGGGCTATTATTGAAGTCACATGTAGATTAAAGTGGTGTCTGTGAATATGCAGCGCTATTAGCGAAGCAGGGACCTGGTGTCTAATGATGGTTTCAAGCAGACTCATTAAGACAATTGGTGATCTGACAGAAGGCCCTTTATTTCTAAGTGTGCATGAAGTAATGACGGCATTTATGGAAGCTGCATGATGGATATGACTGTGTAGGTAAGGTATGAAATCAATCTGTTAACTTTCCATGTTGTGATTTTTTCCATCCTCAACTAATACTATAATTATGCAAAATCAGTACCAAAGCTGAACATTGTGTGTGTGTGTATGTTTGCATTTATTTTGCTTTAAAGAGAATGTTTAGTATTGGCAAAGGAAACGACTTTCAGCAAAACACTGGGAAATCCTATATTGAGTAGTATTCAGGAGCTAGATAAACAGATACCCTCACTGAGCTAACTCTTTTTCTTCACTTCCCTCTATGCTTCCATTACAGAAAAAAGCACTTCTAAGCATACATTTAAAATCCATGGTGACAGGTGTCTTTATGCCAGCGATCCATATTCCTGGTTGAGTGCTATAGGTATTCCACCAGAGGTCAGGGGCGTAGCGTGGGTTGTCAGGACCCGGGGCAAGGCAAGTAATTTGCACCCCCTAACCCGTGGATTTGTGCCCCCTAACCCGTGGATTTGCGCCCCCTAACCCTAACCCCCAGATGTTGCGCCCGGTGCGGCCGGCCCCCCCTGCACCCCCCACGCTACGCCACTGCCAGAGGTGTAGGAAATAGAGAACACGCAGTATGTGTGAGGAACACACACTAATTCTGCTGGAGGAATTATGCGCTTGCAAACAGGTACCGCACCAACTTATTCAACCCAGGACCTGAGACTTCAGTAGCACTAGGTGTTGAGTAGTAGGAGAATGGGGGGGGGGGGTGTTGGAATCGCTATGCTCCATTCATGTCTTCCAACAAGATGTTGAACATCTGACTACTTCATAAATGACTCTGACTTCTGAGTGAGGCTCATCAGTGCAGCAATATACATGCACAGGACGAATTTCTGTGGACTTTTCCTCATGTTGGATGGGTGTCACTGATTCTGCCATTGCCCCTTTGTCAGCCATGCACATGAGTTGGAGACCAGATGGAGCTGAAGGCTGGTCATTCATAGCTGACCTTGATTTCTCAGTCATCCACTTTAATAGGGCAGCATATGGCTCAGAACAGTATGCTACATTCGTGCCGGCTTGTGCTCACAACGCTATCCCGGAAAATCCATATGGATGAGCAGTTTTGTCCTAAGGTTTCCATGTGTGTCTCTTTATGGAAATCATCACAGAAACCTCCTTTTTAAGAGGAAAGCATTTTATTGAAACAACAAAAAACCACCTGGAATGGTTTCCCAGGTGTAAGATGTCCAAGAGTTTATGCGAAATAATCCACAATGAGTAGACTGCAACAGATATGATGTGCTGCAGCCTTTCCCAAGCTGGTGCCCTCAAGATGTTGCTAGACTGCAATTCCCATCAGCTTCTGCCAACATGGCCCAGTAATAAGCATTTAGCCCAAAGCATCTGGTGGGAAGTAGACTGGGGAAGACTGGTGTACTGAGTGAGATATAAATAACCTCAAATATAGAATGATATTGACATCACCCACACTGTGAACTAACAAACAATGTGTAGAGTTGGCACCATTGTTTTTGTCTAAAGCAAAACTCGGAGTGAATTTGGAGCTTCTTCCACATGCAACTGGGGAATTTTGATAGGAGCCAACAGAGTTGTAGTAGTATGAATGAATGAATGAATGAATGAATGAATTTTATTATTTTGGTCACAGACCAGTTCCAGCCCACATACAATATCAAGGGAGTCATAAAACATGATAGGGATACATTTGAATTTGCAATTAGGTATAACAGGGACAATACAGATATAGCAAGTTAAAAGTCATTAACATATAACCTAAAATTATCATTTAAAACCTTAATCATTATGATAGCACAGCTTGTTCCACAAGTTTTATGGCAATCACACAGAATTTGGCTACCCTTAACGTGATCTCAGGATCCTTGTCATTCACCAGGGATTTTAGACATTGAAGTTCAGATTCATTTGGAGATTTTGAGTAGTAGTAGAAGTAGTAGTAGTTTAAAAAAGGCTAGCAAAAGTCCTCAGGGGTGCTTGAGGAATTCACTCTGCAAATGCTTACACAACCTGTTCCACTTCTCTTGGAGCAATGATCAGGTTGTTAATTTGCCCATCCACCAGATCATCTTCTCCAAATGATGGGGCACAGTTTTCAGTGTTTAAATGTGTAAATTAAAGACTCTACCTCTACTAAGATACATATTTATGTATACATTTAAATTCTGAGATTGTTTCATTGCAGATTAATGTGCAAACAGAAGTGCGGGTGCACTCATGTGAAAGTGGTACAAGTGATAGAAAATTGCCCATCCCTCATCTCAGCCACACTGCGTTTATATTCCCTTTTATGGTGAACACACTATATTTTCAGTGCTGGATTTTTAAGCCAGGTTCACACAACTTGATCCAAATTGCACTGATTTTGTTATAAGATATTACTGATTGGTGTGTTGTTGAACAACCTTTATACTGACTGGAGTTCTTAATCCATCCCTAATTCATCTCCTGCCAAGGTGTGAACACCTTTGCAGATTGTGAAGACATCCTTGCTTTGTCAATGCCCCCTGGTGTGCACACTAACAGAAACCAATCTGACACAGATGAAGTTGTGCTGATGTGAACAGATATGAAGGAAAGAGTTGTGAAATATACCAAAAAGCATCACTCACTATGCTCTAAGGTGGTGATGTGAACATGCACTGAGACTCTACTTTTCTCCCTGAAATGGTTGTTGCTGTTGTTTTTGTAATTTGCTCAGTCAGACTGAATGCTCAGAATGAAAGCTTTGATGATAAATTTATCTGCTTCCAATCCTCTTCTTAAACAGACTACACTCCTACACACCCAATAGTATTTACCAGGAGCAACCAACAAGCAGAAAATCCTAGCCATAGTTCTTAGGAAACAGCAGGAGAAGGTGAAGAGGTTGGAAGGGGAGGAGGGGCATTATTCTGAAAGATGAACGGCCAGGAGTGATTCAATTCTCAACCAAGTTGCAGCCTTTTCTCCTTGATTTCCTAGGAGCACATGGATAATCAATATGAGAGAGGAAGGAGAATTTGTAATACTTAGCTTTGGCTTTGCTTGCAGAAAATCAACATTTATCTTCGCGTAATGGAATGGCCCTACCTTGACAATAATCTCAGTCCTTGTGATAAAAGTTTGCCATTCCTCATACATTAAAAGACATTTGAAAGGCAAGATAGAAAAATGTTGCTTCACCTAGTTGGGTTGCTAATAAGTTGGAAGCCTCAGATACTACTCATTTTCTATGGCTGCTCTCACACAGCTGTTTATTCTGTCTTCCCGACATTTCTAACCTGTTAATCTCTGCGTTTTCCATACAATGTTAAAGCCACTTCTGGAGGTCTATTAGAACAGGGGTGCCTGGGGGTCCAGGTGAGCCCCACCCCACATAATCTATTACAACACATGGCTCGTACACACACCATTTCAATGGTAATGCTCTTAAACTGGGGGGGGTGCTCAAAGATTTTATGGAGGGACTGAAGGGACCTTGGCCTCTGGGAGTTGACTCCTATGCAGTGGAGGTTTCCTTGTGAATTCCTTCCCCGGGGGTTGGTGGGGTTGCAACCCTGTTAACCCAGAAATTGGTGCTGTAATTCTCCCTCTGTTTTCATGAATTAGGCCATGGGACAAAATGTGGGGTGGTATTTTAGTGTACAGTTCCTTTCTGCCATTTTCGTGGCTGAACCGTAGGAGAACAGAAGGTCTAAAGAAGGTAACATCCAGTGTTGTCTTCTGAACTTCTTCTGGATAAGTTTCTGAGTTCAACACATTTCAGAAATGTGTCGAGATCGAGAAATTTCCTGTTACAACCAAGCAGGCTAGCTATGCTTTACACATACCCTCCAAAACACTCACAGTGGTAAGTCTGCAATACCAACATACACCTCTGTTACTTGGGTGGAAAAGAGGGCAGGGCTTCTGCAACCTTAGTTGTGTAAGTGAAGGCACTGCAGAAAATGTACCTTTTCTTGTGCTAAAATCTGCTCATCTACACAACTGTTAAGGTTGCAGGAGCCTGGTACTTTTTTGCACCTGACCACCACCTATTCTTCTCTGCGTGCCTCATATGCATGTGTGTGTGCATACGCACACACATGCATGTACACACATGCATGTACACACACACACACACACACACACACACACAATGAAAGCAGACATTGCAGCTGCATCTTATGCATCCCCTGAATGAGATCAACGGGGGCTTGCTCTCAATAAAGCAAACACAATTGCAATCTAGTTTTAAGAAGCATGTACTCTTGCTGTTCATAGCCTCAGACTGATCTCTCGCTCACATCTGGTATCAATCATGACCTTCTCGGCTAAAATCAATGATACAGATATGTAAAGAGAAACTGGAGAGTTCATTTTGCTTTGGGTTAAATAGAATAACTATTGAGTACTCATAAGTAGATCAAACAGGTACTTAATCTTTGCAAAGCCTGCCGACAATTCGGCACAAATTGCTTCACTTCTCTCCTGGAGCTGTCAAGCAGCAGCACCAAGTAGAGAAAGAACTAACCTAAGGAAGGGGTTGAGGAGAGAGGACTCCTCCAGCTTTCCTTAAGTGTGGTGCACCCTTTCCAGATCTAGTGGCCAGGGTTGCTCTCAGCAATTCATCCATGATGATGGTGGTGGTGGGGTTTCCCCCTATACCTAAAATGAAGCATCACAGTGCAATCTACTATGGCAAATCCATCCCCTGATCACACAGGTGTGGGGCTTGCTGTCTTTCCTAAGTTGTGTCGGAGATGCTCTGTTATCCTAGGGTTGATCACCCCTGGCGTTTAAGACAAATCCCTGCATGCCAATGCAAGCTGAGCCTCCTGGATCCCAACCTCCAGACTGGCAGAGATTACATGGTCATTGGACAAACCACCCAAAACAAGGTTAGAGAAAAGGAAGGCGGCTATAATGGGGAGGTGGTTGAGGAAAGAATGAAAGGATGATAATGAAAGGAATTGGTGGAGTGAGAGAGAGGGTAGTGTTCCAGTAGAGAAGGGAGGAGTGCCATCAGGAAATTGAAAGGGAGAAACTGGAGGGAGGGGGGAGAACAAGGACAAATAGTTGTCTTTCATTTCAGGTTCAAGGTGCTGGTTTTGACCTTTAAAGCCCTTTGTGGCTTAGGGCTCTCATATTTATGGGACTGCCTCTCATGGGATGCCCCACAGGGGACCTTAAGATCCATGAATAACCATAGTTTAGAGGTCTTGGGCCCTAAGGAAGTCACACTATCCTCCACTAGGGCCAGGGCCTTTTCAGTGATGGCTCTGACCTGGTGGAATGCTCTCTCCCAGGAGACCAGGGCCCTTCAGGATTTAACCTCCTTCCGCTGGGCCTGTAAGACAGAGCTATTCCGTCTGGCCTTTAATTTGAATTCAGCCTGATCTTTTATTTCCCTTCCCTTCTCTTCCCTCTCCCTCCCCTTTTATGAAGATTACCTGCTTTGAGACCCCACAGCTAATTCTCTCCTGGCCTCCTCGCTGGCCCAGGTAGGACTAATTCAGCCAGCTAGCCCTGGTGACTATCTAATGCTTATTGGATGGATTTTCCCTAAGTTGATTTTTGAACTTTGAATTTTATTTTTATTCATGCTTTTATACCATATTTTATGCTGCTTCTATTCTGTATTACAATTAAGTGTTTTAAATTTGTTGTTAGCTGCCCTGAGCCTGGTGGGGTGGGGGATAAATAAATAAAAAATATTATTTATTTTTTCATGTCAGTTGTTAACTGAGTTTTGGCTGCGAGAGCAGAGTTAGACTGCTGTGGTGGCCTACTTCTTTTCCCTCCACCCCACCCCAGTAACAAAAACTTTAAAATCTAAGTGTTCTCTTGGTATCTCTTCATGGAGAAAAAACCTGTGACTTTTCCAGTATTTTATCAAAGATAAAAATGCCTAATGCAATGCCCACTGGCCCTATTTGTCTGAACCTTGGTGTGTTTCTTATACAGGAGCTCCCACCTCATGGCCCCTAGAACACAAAACAGACCCAGGTGGTATCTCTTATTCTTTGATTGGGTATGCCCTTTTTAAAAGTGAAGATGGCTGGTACACTGGATTTCTCTATTGCTGAGGCCTGGCTGACCTCTCTCGTCATCCCAAACTCCCTGTCCTCTGCCACACACACACACACACACACACACACACACACACACACCACACACCCTCACTTTCTTCTCAACAGTTTGAAAAATTAAAATATAATGGGCAAGTCAGCTGGCAAGCACTAAAAATTCTGCATGGTCGCTGCTACTGCTGCTCTCTTCCAGGTGTGCCGAGAGAGAGAGACATGCTAGTCAATTGGTTGCAAGACCCAGTTTACAACAGGCAGATGAAGAATTTGATGTTCTGGGTTGGCCAAGTGCAACTACTGCTAATGGCCCATTTTATGCAGTTCCTGTTTCCTGGTGGACTATGTGTGGCCAATCACAGGGGGCGGGGAGGGACTAAATAGCAAAGCTCTTGAAGAAAGTGCTTGGGGGAAAACAACAAGTCCCTTCCCCACCACCACCACTTCAGTCCAGAATTTGTAGGGATGGGGCTGCAATGACACAGGGCACATGAGTGGCTAATTAGGTTTCTTTCTACTCTACTAGCCAGTAAAAAGCTAAACTAAGTCTAATGAAGTGTATCAAGATGGGAAACATGGAGAGAGAGAATGGCTTTAGTCTGTAGGCTCTCAGGCAGCTCTCCGGTGAGAAAGAAGAGGTGACAGGGTGCATCAGTGGTGCATCAATGGTGCGTCATAATGCATGTCCATTCATTTTTTCCCCTCGAGATCTTATAATACTATTTTCAAGCTTATTTTCTGTTTTGTGGGGTTTATCCACAGCAGCAAATTCATTCAATTCAAGGGCAGGAAAGCACCTATATGTGTAGCTTCTCTGTAGGTGTCATGACCACCTCAGCTGAATTATATTTTTTTCAGTGAGTATTTACCATGGATTACAAGGGCCAAACTAGATTTCACTAGGGATGCTTGAGGAACTTTTGAATTTCTGAACTGACTCGGTCCACACCTCCTGGACTAGATAGGAAAGTAGCCAACCTTTGGTTATTCTAGGTTTCCAAATTTTGCGATGCAGTTCCTCACTCAAAAAGCATATAAAGATGTGCTTGGGGGAAAATGCATATTTGGAAGCCAAATGTTTCTAAATGTGCACTTTGTGTGTGAAACTACATTTAAAATGCCTACTTAAAATAGTTACGTGAATGCAAATGTGTGGGCAGGTGATTATTTTGAGATGGAAGGGACTTCTGAATGAAAATGTGCAAAAGTGGCAAAGACTGATCCATCGATACTTAGATGTGACAGTAGGACAGTCACTGTTATTTTTGTTCATGTGTCTGAATCATTCACTTACAAAGCAGAACTGTGAGACTCATTTTCTTCCCAACCTGCTAGTTAAGTGTCAACCCCTGCTAGCTAAGGTTACTTCCCTGAGGAGTGTTGGTCTGATCTCCATTTCTCCATCCCACCCTGTAAGCTATCCTGGGGTCAGTGAGGCCTCCCATTGCTTTCTCAGTTCATTGAGTTGCTCATGTAGTGAGCAAAGCATTCAAACACATAGGAGACAATTAAACACAAATTGTTCCAATATGAATAGGTTTCAAAGAACCCTGTCACCTCTTCTGACAATTCTACATTTCTTCCCAACCCCCCACCCCAGAGAGAAGTATACTTCTTACCCCCTCTTTCCATGACTTCTTTTAATATTTCTCTGGCTTAATCAACCTTTGCAACACTAACAGGTTACGAAAGGTCAGTGTAAGTGATAGGACTCCATGCTGTGACTGTAATTTTCAACAGCCAGCGTGTAATAACAAACCTTTAAAAGGCAAACCAAATTTTCTACCCATTTCATTCTTTGCAGTTTCCCCCCAACGTGATTGCTTTGTTTCATCTTAACAGATGAAGAATCAAAATGTTAAAGCAAAAGACTCAAAGCCATCCTAAATTAGCTCATTTTCCCCTGCCACTAAAGTTTGCAAAAGAAATAAGTAAAAGTAAAATAAAGGGGGGGGGGCTGGGCTGGATTCTAGAAACCTACAAGCTGAACTCTGTTCATGTAATGGGACTGTGAGGGTTCCTCTCCACCCTCAAAAGCCCCCTGCACATCCCAAAAGCTGCCCATGGGTGACATATGAAATTGTGTGGGATTGGGGAAAACTGGAGAATTTGATAGGGCTGTCTTAACAAATAAAAGTGCCTTTTCCACTCACATAAGACATTTCAGGATCCAAGGTAGTGACTGCTTGTTTTTATTTGCAATTTTCCTGCCTTGTTTACTATTTTTCCTCATTATGATTATTATTTTTAAAATCATGATTACTGCTTGAGATTTACCATAGAGCAGTCAACGCTGGAATATATTCTGTGTACCAAACCCCCAAATCCATCATCATTATCTGCAATATTTATGGCCTGGTTCTTTGTGTAGCTCAAAACAGCAGTTCCTAGTAGTTACGTGCCATCCCACCACACTCCCAAGAAATCCTTTTAGTTATTGAAACTTTGTTTCATCCAAATTCTCTTTTTTTTAAAAAAAAAAAAAATTATTAAAGTTTCAAGAAATACAAAAAAGAAAAAAAAAGAATGTACAGAGTACAAAATATAGCAAAAAAATAGGGAATAAAAAAAGAAACATACAAAATGAAACAGTTAAAAAGACATTGATTTTCCAAACCTATCTTCCCTTCTCTTATTTCCCCGGACCTCCTCATACCTCCCTTCTTTGTATTCCAGTTCAGTTTGTTAGTTCAGCAAATCCTTACCATTAAACTTTTACCCAATTGTTAATCTTTTTTTTCATATCTCTTAAAGCATTACAGCTAAAAACCTCTTAGTTTCTATCCAACATCCTTCTAAAATTCCTTAATTTTGCAATATTTCTGTAAATAGTCTTTAAATTTCTTCCAGTCTTCTTTCACCGATTCTTCTCCCTGGTCTCGGATTCTGCCGGTCATTTCCGCCAATTCCATGTAGTCAATCACCTTCATCTGCCATTCTTCCAAAGTGGGTAGATTGTTTCATCCAAATTCTCCAGAAATTTTACCTAAGCAGGAACTTCCAAATTTGTTTTTTTGCTTTAAGCAACATTTGATGGCAGCTATGACATGTGTGGAACCTCTCTGAG